CGCAATTTGTTCTAAAAATAGAAAAATTGTCCCATATCATAGGTGCGCGCGGATCCCAAGACTTACGGTCTCCGTCCCCGATTATGGCTCCTGGTTCCATTTGATTTTCCTCTCGGAACTTCCGAAATTTCACTCGAATGGTTCGCTTTCCAGAATTTCAACAATTTCCGGACTTTTTCTAAACGTTCCCAGAATAAGTTGAGTGCCGTTTTTCCCCGTCTCGAAATTTTTGGGCGAATAGAAAGCGTCATTGGACTATGTTTTCAGTTAGTCTTTTTATTTCAGTTGGAACGAACCAACAGAGATTTCCTGAATATCTGCTAAATTTTCCAGTCTCTCATTAGCTGAAAACAACTACGGGAAATCAGGAGACTGATGATCACAGTCTCTTGGAGAAATCTAATTGTAAATGGTAAGCGTCGTCTCCTTCGATTGGTTTGCTGATGAGGGTCTTCCAGGGGGAAGGGGAAAAAAGTGAATTTTTCAAGGGAACATACAACTCCCCTCGGAGACCCCAGCTGATCCCCGGTTTATTCAGACATGTTAGTACCCCGCGGATATTCAACAATTTCCGTATTTTCTAGAACTTTTCCCAGGAAATTTCCTAGGCAATTGTCCCGGTTCGAAATTTCCTGAATTTTGGATTAGTAAGTAAACAAAGTCTTTATTTAACAAGGGTAACACAAAATAGTATGTAAATAATAGTAAACTATTGACCCTCTTACAAGATAATAAATATACTAGAATTAAGATTTGCACGGATAAAAGTTACAAGAAATTTATAGAACTATGGAATAAATGTAAACACGCGATAAGATATTTATGCAGTAAAATGATTAAGAGAGTGCTGATCTTTAAAAATCATTTTCCAAAGAGAGTTTTGAAAAGTACTAAGTAACTCTGCTTTTCTCATCTGAAGAGGTAACACATTCCATTCCTGGGAAAAACTCACAGAAAAAGTCCTTCCACCTTCTGTTTTTCGTTTCACACGAGGCTAAGCTTTATAAACATTGCAAGGAGCTTCAATTTTTCACCGTGGGCAGTAATTGCTTAGAATACAGAAATGCTAGCTGCTTAATGGGAGAAGAGTTGTGGTTAAACTCGTACACAAGCCATATGGGTTAACTCGGTAACAACAAACTCGGTACAAAGTGAAGGGCTAGGCAGACGAAATCGAAAAGATTTATGGGTTATTGACCAACATGGCTGGACATTAGCCAAGTTCTTTTTTCTGCGTGTCTGTGGACCGAGGCACAATGAGCGTTCACAAACACGCAAAAAAGGACAACACGCGTCATTTCGTTTCTGACTCCGCAGGCTGAACAAATTTGGGAATCATTTGGAGGTCGGGATCACTTCGGGTTCGATTTCGGGATCAATTCGGGACACCTGGAAAGCTTTTCGGGAACTGGTGCAGATTAATAGAATATGGTACCATAACAATTTGGAATGGACAAATTATCACGTTCTATGAAAGTATCTGATATAGACTATACTTTCTCAAATATCAGAAAGTTTCTGGGTAAACATTGTTAACGAAAAGGGCCATCAGATGACAAGCGAGGGATTGTTGATTGATTCTTTGGCCTCACGGGCTTCAATTTTGGATTCTAAACTAAATTCAGGCGTAGCTATGTGTAACAAGGTACTGGGGCAGTGGTCATCGCGGTTACTTTTGAAAGATTAAGTCAGCGGTTTGGCAAATGATCAAACGTTGAAAAAGAATCAAGACGGAAAATAAACAAACATAAGCTGAACAGCGAGCCTGCAACATCGCTGCATCAATTTTTAGAACAATCAACTGTCCTAGCCTCGCCTGTTTGCTTGACTTAATACAACTTATAATTAGGAATTCGTCTTACAACTTGCATGAGAGGTAACAAAATTCTTAATCTCCTTAAGGTACAATGGGACCCTCCCTTGAACCAGTGTCACAGCATCCATATCTTGGCGTTGAGCTATCCTCTAAACTAGACTGGGGCCATCATATTGACAGTAAGGTTACCAGAGCAAACCAAACTCTTGGCTTTCTGCAAAGAAATCTTGGCAACTGCCCTGAATCAATTAAAGAATTAGCTTATAAAGCACTAGTGAGACCTCATCTGGAATATGCAAGCCCGGTGTGGGATCCCTGGATTGACAAGCATATAAAGCAAATAGAAGATGTCCAACGGCGAGCTGCTCGATTTGTGAAGAACTGTTGGCAGCGAACACCTGGAACTGTTTCCAATTTACTTAACGATTTGGAATGGCCCTCCCTTCAAAACAGAAGGAAATCTGCTTGCCTCACATTACTTCATAAAGCTATTCATGATGAATCAGCATTAGAAATTTCATGCTGTATCAAAAGGCGTAATTGTCAACTTCGATCTTTTCACAAAGACCAGTTTATCGAACTAACTCCGAACACAGAAAGCTATAGGAACTCATTTTATTGTAGAACTATCAGAGAATGGAACGCGTTACCTAACGATGTTTTAGATGTTAAAAAAAGTCACTTATTCAAGAACGCTCTTGGATTTTAATTAGGTTCTAATTTTTTAATCTTAATTAACTTTTCTTAGTAATCTTTTTAAATTATGGTACATATTTTATTATATATTTTTAAGGTTTTTTACCCCCCACCCCCACCTTGCTTTTTATTTATTTTTTTATTTAATGTCTTGCAGTGATGGGAGCATGGCTCCCTTTGCAAGACCCCCATAATGTAGATGTAGATGTAGATGTACTAAGTACGGCCTTAAATCATCGCGATGTTGTGGATCCAAATTATGGAACAGCCTCCTAGACTCAATCAGATCCTCGGCCAGCTGTGAAGCGTTTAGTGACGTTGACATCAGCTGCCATATTATGTGGACTTACTTTAAAAACTTTTTTCTTTTCATATCATATTTTCATAGTTTTACCTGTACAATTTATTTGCATTTTTGATATTCTTTATAAATCTTTAGACACTTTATTGTACTTATATAATTTTAGTTTAGTTTAATATTTATTCCCACATGTACATTTTTACTTTGTTATTTTGTTTTCTTGGCGCACCTCTAAACTAGCTGGTGCGTCCTGTAGACTCTGCTTATCAAGCTTATGGGACGCACCGGTACCATAGCTAAGTGTGCGAGCAAGTAAAATAAACTTTCTCTATGTCTTAGTCTATGGGAAATCGTATAAATGGACCATAAACTGTTCAAAAATTCAGCGTCATCAGTAACAGAATTGTGAAATAAGTGCGATATAAAACCTCCCAAATGAATGGGATTGAAAGAATCTATCGGGGGAACTGAAATACTCAAGCTCCGGAGCCTTCATAAAAGTAGCTTGTTGCAGATAACTGCTGCTCTAAACACTGGAAAGGTACATGCATTTCCATTGTTTTGAACAGAAAGTTATTATCTGGTGTTATGCTCATTATTGTGATCACTAAGAAGGAACAGCAGGCCGTTATTTCTCTTCGGTGTTTGAGGTCATGACCTGTTGTTCCACCTCAGTGATTCTCCCAATTCCCTGGAATTACTATGGCAAGTTTTAAAATAAAATTACAATATTTAGAGAGGAAGCCACACCAGTCCCCACCCCGGGGTGGGGGGACTGGGGACTGGCTTAGGGGTGTAAATTTCGGATTTTGGTCTCACTTATGGTGTTCTGCCATTATATTTAGCCGTGAAGGTCTCGTTTAGGGTTGCACGCAAAGAAGTATAAAAACATATATTTAATACGTATATATTTTTAATTCGTTTTATTTACTCAATTCATATTATCAAAGTTTGCTATAACATCAATACCTAAGAAAGACTATAACAAAAGGTCTTTGTCCATTGTTTTACAAGAGTGTAATACGAAACTTGACGACTGACACAAAACGATCACGACTAAAAATATTCACAAGCTTGTTATTTGATTCTTGCCCTAATACCGAGTTTCAAGAGTTCGTCCTTTAATCAGTGTATTTTCATTTGTCTGTGTTTTAACATGGTACCTTTCAGGGGTCAAACAAAAGCTTGAGCCACGCCCAGATCGGTCTCCTGTAGGAGTTTATTCAAAATTTCCGACGAGCATCCCCGTCCCTTTCATATGCCAGTCCCCCTCCCCCCCCCTCCCCCCCGGGCATCAGTCTTAGCCGGTTTTCATGTGGGTCCTCTATCCTGGTCGAATTGGAATTTGAAAATGTTGGTTTTTCAGGAGGAAGGAAAACCGGAGAACCCGAAGAAAAACCCTCGGAGCAAGACGAGAACCAACAGCAAACTCAACCCACATTGACACCGGGCCGGAGTAGAACCCAGGCCACATTGGTGGGAGGCGAGCGTTGTTTTACTATTTCTTCGGAAATTACGAGAGTTTGCTTAGGGTTTAACCGAAATTATTCTAGGCTTATATCTTCATTTCAGTATTATTAATAACTTTATTTAAGTGTCAGGGTAGGTATTTAGCTTACAGAAGCTAATTGGGGACACTACTACGTTACAATAGATTAAGATTTAAAATGTACAGTTAAGAATACGAAATCTAATGGCTTTCTGCGCTTTTTCGTTCTTTACCAGTGAATACTGGTGAATATGGCTTTCGAGGCAAGGTCTCAATGCGCTCAACCAGGCAAGAAGCGCATGAGAAGCGATTTCCTGAAACTAATACAGAGAACTGCAATAGCATGGGGGCCTTTCAGCACATATTTAAAACATTTCACTTGAAAATTGAAATAAAGGAAATTCCAGCCTCTTTCCACCCCGGGAATAAAGTTCTTCCTTCCCACCCTGAGAATTTAAGGTTAAGGAAATTCGACGTGGTTTACAAACATTCCAAGCCAATTGGGCACAGATACTTTCTGCCTTAGTTCTACCATCTTGCTACGAATCATGCATTGGTATTTATGCGTGGCTCATGATCACGTGCTCTGCCGATTACTGATTCTTCAGATTTTCAACGAAAAAAGGCTGGTGAGCAGAATCTTACATGAAGTCGCTTGCTATGTACTGATATATGAACCAAGTTTACTCTACTGCAGTTACAAACGTCTAAGCTATTTTTCGCTAGTAAAGCGGGCACCACTCTTGATCAAGCTCACCTGAAATTTGTTTGGGTTAACGACAGTGCTATTTAGAGTAACCGGAGCTCTATCCTGTAAACCGGGGTATTATTATCCGTTGGCGGTGCTACAATGACGGATCTGTGTAAGGGACATCAAAGCGTCTCTTTTTCCTGTGGTTCCTTTATATCGCGAGTACATCTTAACATGCTACCCCGGTGCCTGCAAAATGTACCATGGCGCGCGGCCTGGGTTGGCACGAGGACCACGAGAAACGAACCTAGTGCCCCCCGGGGAGACACTCCCTTATATGGGCTATGTAGGTATGTGTGGCCCCAAAGGGTAGGGTTTCAGCCGTTTTGGTCATAAATAGGGTATCAATTTTGGCCATTTTGGTTATAAATAGGGTATGGTTTTTACACTCTGGTCTTGAATTGGGTATTTTTCCTAGGAGAAGCTACTTTTTCATCATTATCAATAAGACCGTCAACAAAAGCCGTTCATAACTTATGTTTAGGGCAACTGTGTCAGCTGCAACGGTCATAAATAGGGTATCGAATTTTTGATCAGGTCATAAATAGGGTAGCAAAAAAAGAAGACTTTCGTCATAAATGGGGTAAGGGTTTTGGGAAGTGGGCCGCACACTCCCAGCCAACTTTTCTGGAAGTACCCCCCGCTCCCCGGGCCCAGTGCCAAGTAGTTACAAATGGCACGAGAGAAGAAAACTGAAATACCGTGAGGAGGGAGTTGTATAAGTACCAGTTGATGAAAGCAAAACATACGGCCCTGGGACAGAGGTTGCAGTCATACCACTGTCAGCGGTTTCATTTTCGATAGATGCGTATTTCGAGCGTAAATGGCGAAATGACGAAATGTCACTGCGGTTAGCCTAAATAGCCCTCCGGTTAGAGTGAATAGCACTCTGGTTAGACTAAATAGCGCTCTGGTTAGCCTGAATACCACTGAATTGAAAGAGGGGGGAGCATTGCGTGACATCCCAAAAAACGGCTGCGGAGGAGACTAGCCTAAATAGCGCTCTGGTTGGCCTAAACAGCGCTCTGGTTAGACTAAATAGCACTCCGGTTAGCGTAAATAGCGCTCAGGTTAGCCTGAATATCACTGAATTGAAAGCGGTTAGATCTCAAAAATTGTGTCTTCACCGTATCCCACATTGTTAAAAGCCATTCCGCAATTTCGCCATTTCGTGTTTTGAAAACACCCGCGTATTTGTATCACGAAGTATCTAGATGTCAGATAGTTGTCTGGCAGCCGGAGAGCGTTTTCGCCAGAGATCTAGTCCCAGCGATTACATTGTTAGCCTAAGCATCCATTCATGAGACTATCCAATTGTTTCCAGATTGGACAGCACAAACGAGTTTGATTCACAGCGGAATTTTTAACACAAAACTTGTACATGCTAGCGTCCAGTTTGAATTGTAGAAACAAATCTCCTGACTAACAAATTAATGACCAAAGAAACAGACAAAGAAAATCTCTCCAGTCAGTAAATTAAGTCATTTGATTCATTCTTTAATGTCCACTGCTATATTATTTTATGCTCTCAAATACGTGTTGCCATAAAAATGTGTTTGATAAGAAAATATAAATTAAACTCCACAATTCCATATTCGACCTCGAACACACCTTTTGCACAAAATATTTAGAAATCCACTGGCACTGAAGTTGGCATTGATGGAAATTGCACGGCAATGTCTGCATTTTAATTGACCTTTACAGCACCGTTGTTTTAATCCATGATTTCTAGTGCCTGAGAACTTGGCCATGGATTGACGTCACTTGTTGGCCACACCCCTGATGTATTGTTGCAAATGTTTCTCAGTACTGCTTCTGTTGTAGCATCATCCAAAGTGTTCAGATCAGAGAGAGTCTCATCATTTTCATGACTGAGATCTGCAAATGTCAAGTTAGTTTCAAGTATTGTCATTTCATGGTCCTCCCCTCCCCTGGTAGTGCTGTTCGTTCTGACCTGTGACACCCCCCAGTTTGAGGCATTTATGTTTGCATGTTCAGCATTTAGCATAGGAGTGAGATTTCTTCTTGCTGAAAAAGCACTCTCTGGTGTTGGCCTTGAGCCATTGTTATTGACATCACCATGAAGAACTCTATTACGCAGCTCCTTTAAACCATTCAAGTGTTGATTTGATGATGTATCCATGGGTGATGGTGTGAGGTGTCGAGGGCGGGAATTAGTCTGCGGTGTCAGAGGATGAAACCTTTGATCTTGCAGTGCATGCTGCGTTAAAGGGGGAACTGATTGGCTGCGCTGGTATGAGGGCGGAGGCATCTGACCTGAAGAGCTTGTAGCTTGGTTACATATTGTCTCGAGTTCTGATGAATAATCCATTGTCTGGACTATAGAGGCCTGTGGCATGTGTCCATTATCTGAAGTATTACTGTATCTGCACGATTTTGGAACAATACCTGTGCCCCTGAAAACGTGCAAAGAGAACTGTTACTATCAAAATAGTAGCCCCTATTTTACTGTTACTATAACCGTTTGTGTTACAGCCACATTGATGTAACTGCTTTTGGTCTCTTCTTGCTCAAAGTTGATACATTTAGGGTTGTCTAATTCGAAAAGAGATCATTATAGAGACAAAAAACGCGGCGAAAATCTATCATGAAGTCTTTGAAGTCTCACAATAACATGAATATGGAACATGGGTTGAAATGTCATTGGAACCTTAGTTTTTAAAGATTTGAAAACTAAAATTCATGTATCCATGGTGGAAAGTTCATAAAAAATAAACTTTGTGCACAAACAAATACTAAAAACAACATGAGATGGCGAGAGAAGTCAGAACTTTCAACTGATAAATAAAAAGATTATTTAAATTTGTTCGTAAAAATAGAGTTATTAGGGATTGTAATATACAATTGTGAAATGACTGAATAGTGAGAATGATTTCCCTTATCACATCTTGCCCAACTTACCCTTGTTTAGAATGATGTTGAGACATGTGCACATCAGCAGCAGATGATGGAGGACTTGTCATGTTTACACCCTGGGAGAAGCCTGTTTGAGCCATATTCTCAACATTGGATATTGCTAATGGAAGCATAAATTCCTGCCCTCGCTGTGCAACATTAGGAGAGATGGGGTTAAGCTGCCGGCCACAACCAGGAGAAGCCATTGTTGGAGACGTGACATACTGCTGTGGAGCTATGCGTTGAGGGGTCCTTGGTGACGGCAATGGGTAAGCAAATGAGCCAGGTCTACGGTTAGCTGTTGGAGTAGAAGGTGGATTCTGATTTGTCAGTCTTGGTTGTTTACTTGGAGACATTGGTACATCATTGACTGCCATCTGTGATGCTCCTTGCTGAGACCAATCATTGCTCATCATAGGGTGAGTGGCAGTTGGTCGCAATGTGGGCGGACTTGTTTCTCCTCTAGACACTCTCTGTTCTTGAGCGCTACTTGGAATTGGTGTGAAAAGAAAGCGGGTAGGTTCTGCTGAGTTTGGCGTGTGTCGAGGAGTAGCACTTGCAGAACTTGGTGTAACTGGACGATTTTGGGGTGTTCCAGGCGTGTTGAACTTTGGTGATGACTGGAAAGGAGATGGTGTCTGTGGCACAGCAGGTTGAATGGGTGTGGTGGGGGATATCATAGATGGAGTAACAGATCTTATCTTGGTTTGATAGCTACTGGGTGGGGTGGTGGGGTTACCTCCAGGCTGCTGTTGCTGGTAAAACTGTCCCATTTGAGCAGGAGGACTCTGAAGAGTGGGCTGTATAGGTTTTGGCTGGATGTGTAACGGCTGCTTGTGAAGAGACTTCTGTTGAGCTGATATGCTTACCTGTACCAAAAAAGAAAACAACCCAATGTCAAGGATCCACCTTTCATTTATGTCAAGGTGTTCTTTAAACCTCCTCCCCATTAATACCAATTTCTACCTACCTTCAAACCCCTATTAAGTAGCCACCCTCAGGGAAATGGGAGGTGGCCGCTTAACAGGGGTTGGCCACTTAATAAAGGTTGGTGCACCTTGAATATTTTTGACGGTCAATTTAATTCCTTAGTGAACAGGGAGTCACTTCAAGACAATCATGATAAACGTGTATTTCAAAGTTTTTATCACTCATCACCTTCCATTTCAGACTCTTACTTGCCATTGTCTTTTCCTAAAACAAAGTTTTTAGATTTTTGGGTGGCTGTTTAATAGGTAAAGACAATAGAAAAACCCTCATCAGGGTGACCAAAAGGTGGCAGGGATCACTTAATAAAGGTGGCCGGTTAATAGGGGCTTTATTTACAGTGTTTTACTGACAACAACTTTGGGACTTTGATAACTGGCCGCTTAATAAGAGGTGGCTGCTTTTAAATATTGGACTGTATACTGTCTTAGTTCATATTTCTTGAAAACAAATTCTAGTAAGTTACTCATGAAATGACCTTGATCAAATATGAAATCATCTCTGGCAGAACTTTAAAAAAAAATCATGGAAAGTAATGGAGAGAATTGTGACCATAGTTGAACCATCTAATGTCCTTTATAGATCTGAACAGTCCAGCGCAACCTACACAAATGTCAGAGGAACCCCAGCGTCTTTACTAACTTGTATCCACCCTGTCCTATGATTTCTCCACCAACCAACCATTTGATGTTATAATGAGAAAACCATAAATTCTGAAGTCTTCAAATCTCCCACATTAAATAATGTATAATCCCCCTACTAATAATACATGTTTCTTTTAGTGTTGTTTGTGAGAATTCATGCCGATAGTTAATGTTCTTCTCTATCTTTGTCACAGATCTACTTGACTACAGATTGACATTGTAAGGAGAGATTTGATGCTGACCAGCCTTACCAGTGTTTTGTGATTTAACAACTGCTGTGGTGTGTTACATAAAGCTTGGCCCGGTTGTAGCATGGCATTACCAGGAAGTTGTTGAAGCTGTTTCTGCTGTTGTCGCTGTGGCATCTTTTTTGGTAACTGTTGTGGCTGACGTCGCTTCTGAGTCAGTAACATTTGCTCCTCGACTTGTTTTAAAGGGGTAATCAATGACACTAATGAGTGGCCAATCTGAGGCGTGTTCAAATCATTGCTAGACATGACAACAAATGCTGCCATGGACTTGCTGGAAACATAACTTCCACCTACAAGGAATCTGGCCAACTCAATCAGTGTGCTGAAAACTCTGCCCAGAAGTTTATTTGCCCACTCACAAACAAGTAAACAGGCAGCAGACAGAGTCTGGTCTTCCTCAATTTTGTCCCCTCCAGCCAAGCTATTTGCTGCATTTGCTGAACTCTGAAAGCCAAGAGAAACTCAGATTAAAATTACAAGAATTAAGAGGATGTGAATTTGGGATGTTTAAAAACATATTACCTTATCATTCTCATTTGCTGAAGGAACTTGAAGGGATGGGAGGGTGGGTGGCTTCACATTCTTTTTCCTTTGTATGCCACTGTAACAGTACTTAAGAATGGTTAAGGAGTTCATAACATAAGCAGCAGTGGATTGCATGCGACATCAATCTATTCATTTTAAAAAATAGAGACACGGAAGTGTTGAATACTGACAGATTTCATAATGGCACACCAGGACTGTCTGGTAAGAATAAACACTATCTTCAAAGTGTCACATCATACTGAGATGTAACACTATTACTAACAAGAATGGTTAATTAAACACAACACAGTCCCAGGCAGATATCCACACTGTAATAAATCACAGTAGTAGATAAAAACTGCCATAACTCCTTTTTAAATACAGTCTGAAAAGATATTTTGAATTTCCTCGAGTCCCAAGTCTTCTAGCTTTTACTCTTGGAAACACGCACTTGATGATTTTACCAAAGTCAGGTGCACTCAGTGTCCGAGCAGCATTCATGCTTTCACAGTGAGCTCTGAAGAAGAAAGGGATTATTCATCCTTTTAATGATTGTTTGATAATCAGGTAATAGTTAGATTTAGCCAAGCCTAAAAGCAGAGCTCCTGATTACAATAAGTTAACTTGGCTTAAGTTTTCAATCCACTCAAAACCAGTATCTCGGTAGCAGTCAACTTCGAAACATGTGACCTCAATGAGCTCTAAACTGGAGCCCGCGTTATGGTCACATGATACTGGTCAGCAGATACCTTGTTTTGACAGGTGTCAATTGACCATAACATGGATGCCCAATATCAAAGATGTACGCTGTAAACCAAGGCAGCATGTCTCCGTCAACCTATTAGCTGGCTGGAGTATGGCTGCCATGTTACGTGACTTTGTCATCTCATTGTTATGCATATGTGCCTGATCATTATTAGCCATAATAACCATGAGCAATTAACGGGTTCCCATAAGTATGGTGTTCCACTTGGAACACCATCCTTGTTAAGGATGTTCACACTAATCATTTCTGCGCATCCTTACTGCACATGCAAATTCACACACCACATCGTGCATTGAACATGCACTTCGCAATAAAATGAACAATGATGGGGCAGATGGCCATTGCTATAGCTTTGCCTGGATTTAACGATCTTGGACATTTGGTTACCCCTATTTTTCTTTTGACGGATCATTTTCTCTGCCGATTTTCTACATTAAGCAAAAAAAGTTTGAATTTTTTGCAAAATGCATCATCAAATTCCGTAGCTCTTTGTGTATCTGTATGGCGGTTTCAAATGCCTCTTGGAGGGTTAAGTTTTGTGAAAACGTTGGAAACATTTGGAATTATTAATGCAACGGATTCACTTATACAAAATATTACTAGCCTAAGGATAGTTTGTCTTCGTTCATTCATCTTTGATATTTTAAGCTAAAAACCCAGTAAACCATGCTGATTTATGCAAGCCAATTTTTCAAAATCAGACTAGTTTTCCCCACGCTTTACGTTCTCTCTATGAGAGAAAGTTTGACCTCCTTTTATTGTCATTCCTGCAACAAGTAATTCATTATCTGTCCACGGTAGAAGATTGAAGAAAATCTATCGAGTAGAACATTTTCATGCGAACGTCCTTAAGCTAGGATTGCAGTGAACAAATTTATCAATTCAACATTCACAATGTCTTACTTGTATTCATCATAGACCTCATGTTTAGGCAGAGTTGAGTTGTTGTCACACTCCTCCAAATGGCAGCGAATCCTGGAAAAAAGTTATGCGAATATTCAGCTGTTTGATATCATTCTCAGGCTCAACAATCTGTTACATTTCAGTCTGTTGATTTTCTCCCAACAAAAAATATACCAATTGAGTTTTGAGCTTGTAGATCACAGCTGAGATAGGCATAAAATTGTTATTTTCAATATTAGATTGATACTAAATGTTTGAAGTGTTGTTATTGATTGTGATCCCTTAGACTTGACTCAGTGACACTTAAATTGACTAAGACCATCAATTCAAATAAATACGTGATATATTAAACAACTCACCAGTGAAAAGCTTGGGTTTGCTCTGCCCTTGTTGTGGAAATGGGAAGGGCTTGATTGCTAAAGAGAAACAAATATTATTATGCTGGGGCACTGGCCATATTTTAAAATTCTAGAATCTGCACTGAACCCTGGCCTAAGTAGTTGTAAGCTCTTATAGTGAAGGCAGTTGCTTAAGGAGACAACAGAACTACAGAAAGAATCTTGAACAGTGCTCTAATCCAATTCAGATAGAATCTGGCTTCTTGCCAGGGACACCAACAAGTAGACATGTAATGGCATCATAACTTCTTTTTTTAATTTCTAGGGAGTTAGGCATAAAAGCCTGCTCTCCAAGTTTTCACCAACCACTATGGATAGATCGGTCTATGGTTCTTTTTGCAAGCTAAAAAACCCTAAGGAAAGAGAAAGAAACTTGGGTGGTAGAGACAAGAAGAACTGACACTGGTATATTCTTGCCAAGGTCACTGATAAGAATTTTTCCTGCCTTCTCCATGTCTGTCATTTGTTTTGTTCATACATGGTATGTAAAAGGCAAGCTTGTTCATGATGAGAACAGGCAAATTTAAAATATATCGCAGATCCAGTACCAGGATTGATTAAGCTTTTGACAGCAGGCCTACTGTCTTTGACAAATAAAAATTTGTGATAAAATTGATATCACAAATTGTTATCTGTCAAAGACAGTAGACCAGCAGTCAAAAACTTATGCTTTCAACACTTTTTGCCAGAGAACACAATATTCTATATTATCAGGCAAATTTTAGTTTACAAAAAAGTGAATGATACTCACTTGTCAAAGTCATCTTTAGAATCTGAAGCTGTCTCTCCTGGCAGTCGCAGGTAAAGCAACAATTTCTCTGTGTCAGACAACTGTTGTACCTCTTCCTAAAAAGATAGTTTTATAAAACATTTCCAGGTTAATTAACACATTTTTTATAATTTACACAATTCTGGGGAATATGGTTTTTACCAACTAGATTAAGATACTGTGCAACAATGAATGTCAATACAGAAAAAATGAGCATTAGCCGATCAATAAAGCAAATTACTAAGACAAAGAATAAGGGAGAGATATGTGGAGAATTTTACAAAATTGGTTGGAAAGAGGAATAAAGTACAGACTACCTCCAACACAAGAGTACTTCAGGTAGGGAAGAGTCTGTTTTGTTGTCCACCCATCAGTTATTGAAAACAATATTTTTAATCATTGTGACATTGAACTAAATGAAGCTTCATTTTGTTGCAGAAGAGAACCAAGAACTCAAAACCGCATTGAGGCCCACCACATTGGACCTTGGAAATTTAAGTCCACAAAATTCTTCACTCTTTAGACAGCACAAGCAAGAATCAGTCAGATAACACAAATTATTATAAAACAAACTTAAATATACTTCTGCAGGTTGATTATTATTCTGTTATTTTATAAACATGCCACAAGTGAGGATAAAACAGTTCAAAAAGAAAATTACCAATATCTTTTGAATCCTCTCTTGAATTTCTTTGCTGTAATGAGAAAAAAAAAAAAGAGATAGCATCAATTGTCCCCTCAGAATGTGAAAACACCAATTAAAATAGTTCTTTTTTTCTACTTTACAGGATCGGTAGGACAGTTTACTGAGCTCCATAATTTAACAAGACTGAAGTCCATTAAATAGTAAGGCCCACCTCCCACAGGAGAAACAACAAAAGATTTTAATTAAATTTAGAAGTAACATCCAATAGATTAATCTCAGTGAGCACAAAAGAATGGACTATTCCACAATAGCGTTGTCTTAATATGTGTATAAGAAAGAAAAGACATTTAAATTTCCATCAAATTAATGTGAGATGTACCAGTACTTTCCTCAAGTCAGAAAAGCTGTTATTCTGTGCTATCTTTAGCAAAATGAACAACAGTGTCTACAGACAATTTTTCAGTTCAAAAACTTGATTAAACTTTTTGTTACAAAAACTCAAGAGTGTTGTGATGGAAATTATTTGTCTTTGCCTTGTCAAAGTTGATCAAATTTGACAGCAAAAAAAGCTTTCACAACACTTTCCACTTAAACAACAAAAGCACATTTTCTATAGACAGGTGAACTACAATATCTAATGAAGTTAGAATATAAAACACCTGGCTCTGATGTTGATTTAAGATAACACATGAATACTATTAATAGCTGATCCTTGTTCTTTAGAATCCCACTTATATGATCTCCTTTACGCCCTTTCTTTCAGGATTAAGTGATAACATTATGCTTCAAACTGCAATCACATTTTCAAGAAAAAAAGTCAACAATTGACAGGTTTCATGCACATGGGAATTGAGATGCATCCAACTAAAGGAAAATGCTGCCAACTAAAACCTTTTAAGTAAACATTTTTTAAAGTGATTTATAGTGAGCAGATCCTGTCAAATGCTAATTTCACCCATTTAAACAAAATTTTACAAGTCATATATAATAAAGGACTTTAGGATTCTGAAAGTCTGATTTGTTTTGCAACAGAAAAGATAGTAAAAGGATGAAACTGATAAACCACTCTTTCTACAATTTGAAACCTGAATATTTCAAAATGGAAAATCACAATTAACTATTTACTTTGAGTCATATATTCATTACACCTCATTACTGCTTACTAATTATGATTGATGATTGCATTTTATATTCAACGAAACTTTGAATTTAATCAAAGTTAAGATTAAACTTAATTTTAAATACGAAAAATTGTGGCAGTTTCTAAACTACTATGTCAATGTGCACAGACTTTGAACAATGTTGAAGAACTTGAACTGTCAATAAACCTCTATCATAAATTGATCTTCAACCAAATGCAAGTGAGTTAGTTTTTTTTTTTTTTTTTTTTTTAACAAAATGCGGCCAGCTGGCAAATGTATTTTTATTTTCTTTAAAGTAAAAGAAAAGTCTCCAAATGGCATATCATGGTCAACATGTCACACTAACAGACAGTAGACCAATAGCTTAAATATTTCAGGATGAACAATGCGGAGCCTGTTCCCACGACCCAATGGATCGTTAAACACAAGGAACACATGGCGAAACAAAGCCAGCAGACATGGCGTTATTTCACAACGCGCCTACATATTGTTTCTATATTTGCAGTAAGACCTTTCGCCGTTTTAGTCCGAACATGAAATAAACAACGTTGTCAATTTCCGAAATCGACGTTTGAAGTCTAACATTGAAGTAAGATTGTGTTATCTCAAAGGAATTCCTTCCTTTTAATCTTTGTTCTAAGAAAATCAATTCTTGATTTGCTTGTGAACGATTTTGCAACTCAACACGCCTCACAAACTGCAAAACTTTTGTTTAAAGCGACAAAAAAAATTAATACAGAGAGCAGCGTGCTCTTTAATTTTTCCCGCGAAAATTACCCGCGTAACTTTTATGCAGATGTAGCATCATAGGCTATGGCTAAATTATTATCTAAAAACGCCTCCGAAAGAAACGGCGTTGCAAAGACGTGCATTTTACTTGTACCTGATAACAACTTCTTTCCTTTTTTTTGTCATATATGGTACTCAGTTCGTGAAAATCCCGCCCCAAATGAAAATGCATTTTGAAGTAATTGCTCGCATGAAAAGCTATTATACCGTGATATTTGACCAAAAGCACCTGACTTTTACCCATCCTAATCGCGATCACAATTCTAATCTACACGTGTTTCATTGAATTCGATCGCATGTGAAATACAACTACGATGCCGACTATCTGACAGCGTGTTTGTTTTACATAACTCGATTTCATTACCTCGCCCATCACGAAATTTTCACAGGGTTAAAGTGAGAAGTTACTGCAAAGGTCTCCTTTTGTCAAATATTGCCATGGAATGGAATCATGGAGTTATATCGTTTGGTACACTGAAATTACTCCTGCTATCCAATGGAATTGCGCTCTGCTGGGGTCGCCCAAACTCGACCCGGTGTGGACCTTGCATGAAGGCAGTAACGCAGTGTGAATTTTCGTCTTACAAACTAATCTAAAGGAAATTCATGACACCTTAAAGGACGTAAAGTATTGACGAGTGACGATATGATCTCGCTAGATAGCGTATAAGGTCGCTGATCAAACGTTCTAGACAAATGCTACCCGCAAATGATAAATAAAACGTTTCGCTTGACCACCAGTCACCTCTCACGCCTCGCTGAACAAATGAAAACAATCTAAAATCATGCAGTCACAAAACTGATGCCGGAAAATAATTTGCATCCCATTCATTTGACGAAACAGCAATTTAACCCTAAAAGAAACAAATAAAAACTTCAAAAGAGTTCAAGGCTACACGTATTAACGAATTTACTACCTCAACATTTTAGAGGTTAGGGAAACTACGTATTTTTCCTCGTGAAATAAACGTTTTCTATATTTACAAAACAGAAACTCGTGCTTATGTCAAACGATGGAGCTGTGCACTTTATACTTTGCTGATAACTACAACGTTGTAAACACATACAGATTCCGTTTGATCGCCAACAATTTGTGCCAAGTTATCTCATTTCTATCAACGCTAGACGGCTATATATTTGCACAGAAATTCCTAAATCGTGCGAAGTTTGCGAATGAATGAAATATTTTTAAAAAGCCACGTGCAGAACGGAAAAAACAGTGGAACGACTTCCCGCATTCCTGCGTCACATCTGCCCTGAGCAGAAACCCACATGGCTTCGGTAAATCGACAATTCCTCGACAAAAACAAACTAAAATTAAACACTTCCATCAGCTAATCTAGTTTACACCTAACAATCATTAAAATTATGCACAAGTCAATAAGTCGCAATGCGGTGACGTTTAGACCTGCCTATATCAACCACAAACCTGGAGGACTCCAAATCCAACACGTAATCAATTTAAAAACGCGCTTTTACTCGAGATTAAAAAAGAACAACATTTATTGGCGTGATAGTAAATTAACACAATTGCACGCGACACGTTACCATCCTGCACGCAGCTATTCCAGCTGAACGCGGCTCAGTCAATTGATCAACAATAAACCTCAACTTGATCGACCTACTTACCTTACGAAGGACTGCAAAGCTTGCTCAAGGCCGGTGTTAGGATTGTCTGCCTCTTCCAGGTCGCAGTCTACCGGACTTGTAGAGGGAGAGGACTTTAAAGACAACGGGATCGCAGCGGATTGAAGAAGCTCGCTATGTCCTCCCGGGGTTAAGTCAACAGAGGTTGAAGTGCTCACGATTAGCTCACCGCCAGCAGGCTTCGATCTGTCCATGATGACTTCACTGGAAGTCTGCATGGTGAAAGTAGATAATCTGAGTGGTAAACTCCTTGGTCCGAGTTCCACAGCGTTCTAGCACCTCATAACCCGTCCGCGATCAGTACAATGCAGTAGTAAACATCATAACCTTGGTTATTAATCGTGCAGCACATGGATTGACAACTAAGACGCATGCGTGCCCGCTCGATCTAAATGAACGTTGACAGAACAAGGTGTTAGCAGCCAATAGGATGAGCTCCAATAATTAACATTGTACTTTATCCAATGGTGTTTTGTCATTAAAATTACACGGCACCGACAACTGCTAATTTAATTTTTGATACGCAGAGGAAACCCGCATTCGCATTGCGGATTGTGCTTTTTTGAACACCACTATCATTTTCGAGTTCGAGTCTTCCTAATTCAGAGGTCGTTCATCAGGTATTACCCTGAGCAATTAGTTTACTTAGAAGTGAGAATGTTGATTGACAAGTACCAATGTGATTGATTAGCTTAGCTTGATCAGAAGTGAACCCCACATTTCACTCAGCCATGCACCAGAGCCGTCCGGACGGAAGAGCGCAAAGTGAGTCCTTTGCGCAATCCCAAAAGCACAAAGCAGCAAGCCGATGTCTCCTGGGATTACACTTAACGCAAGCTTGCTCTGTCTCTCAACAAAACAGCTCAAAGCGTCTCTGATTATGCGCCAAAATACAGTTACTTGTTGTAGTTATTGCCAAGAAAAAAAAAGCCAACAAATCGATATCAATAAATACGCGACTTAATGTTTACAAAGACTAAAGTATAAAATATATATATTAATGTTTGAGGAGTTTTGCTATCTTGACTAACGTGAAAACGGTTGCGGAAGAGCGCATCGAGTTTGGCTTGTGGCGGTCGCATTCATTCACCTAAAAAAAGACGCAATTACCAACAACATAAGACCCTGTCCCAACGGGTTATCAAACGCATACCAAGCATTCAATGAATGCTGGACGCTTACTCTCGGTACAGGTTATTATAAGTTATACGGAATTCTGACGCTTAAAAAAAACGCTCATGTGACAGCGACCACAGAATCTGCTTTTATTTTCTTTTTTAGGGAAGGTCAGAGATCTTGAAAAACCTGAAACAGAAGTGTTGTCTTTTTTCCGTTGGTGAAAAACGTCGGACAACGTTGATTGCACAAAGCACAGGAAGTTTCTGCTTCATTACATCCGGCACGCACGGCTTTCGAACATTTCGTGTCATCAAAGTTGATGACACAAGGTAGCATGCGCTTGTTTTTTGGTCGGAATCGCGTTGTCTCCGAGAAAGACCAAGCCCGCGTTTTTTTCAGGAGGTTCCCAAGTGACGCGACGTGGACTGACCTCGTGTTATTATTTCATTGGTTAGTAGCAATCGGAAACTGTCCGGAAATTTCGACGATGTTCTCACGAAAGCAGCGGCTCAAGTTCACAACAAAAATCGGCATTTTCTTCACGCACGTTTTCGCTACGAGGGAAAAAGAATCTAAACGATTAAACTATCAGGATAAAGATAATTTTCAATTCCCAAATCACTGCACAAGCCCATGGAATCACGAAAAGCTTCAAAATAAACAAGTCAAACTCGGTATGACGCAAACGGTCTTGAAGAAAAGGTGGTTTTCAAATTTATATGAAAGCCGAGAAGCGTCCCAAACTGAGATATCAAAAACCCCATCCTCAGAAACTGCAGTCTCCCCTATCACTGCGGGCATACAATCAAATGTTTTCACCGGGTTTTCAAAGATCGTATCAAAAGTTCTCATAATTCAGAGTACTGATGCGAGCAATGCTTTGGAATAATTTCACGCCCGCCACCAACAGCAATTATTGTGGCTATACTAGTTTACTTCTTTTCTGTTCCAAGGTATAGCGTTAGGGTTAGGGACATAACGGACATAGGAATGCTCATCACTGCCCTGAAGATTAACCTGGTTTTCAATAGTGACCCAAGCATAAACGCAAGCACAAGAGCTCCACTAGCTAGTTTCTTGTCCGTTTTGGCTTCAGATAACAGATCTCTTATTCTTATGCTGTGTTCCGTTTTCACACTGTGCAAGGCAAAAACAATCATGCTTAGGCTTGTGTCGCTACTCAGAACCAGGCTTTGATGAGAATTTTTTCGTTCTCTGAACGAAGTGTCTGCACGCACAATCCCCTACCTCCAAAACAAACGGGTTTTATTAACTAGATTAAAATTTATTTCCTCCCTACATCAAAGACGTATGCATTACTTTAGGACCAGCCCAGAATAACATTGAATATACTTCGTCATTTCAACAAGATTACACTACAGGACATTTTTTCGTTTGCTGTGATCCGCTATGTAGCGTCGCTCGTGAGTACAACTTAGTTAGTG